GAAATTTATCCCATGACAGTGCTGAGGCCACAAAAAGGACTATTTTCCAAGTGGTGGCCAAAGTTTACGATCCAATTGGTGTATTTCAACCCTTTGTGATGAAAATGAAAATTCTGTTACAAAAAATTTGGACATTAGGTGTGGACTGGGATGATACCCTTCCATTAGAAATAGTTAAGGACTGGAGTCGCTGGCAAGCTGAATTACAGGTGTTGGAGGATTTTTCTCTTCCGAGAAAATATTTTGGTAGTAGTGAAAAATCTAATATTAGTCTTCATGTATTTGCTGACGCTAGCCCTAAAGCGTACGGCGCAGTAACATACTTTAGATACCTTGATTCAGAAAACATTATTTGCACCAGTTTCATTACCGCAAAGGGTCGCGTAGCTCCACTCAAGACTATGACTTTACCTCGTTTGGAGTTGATGGCTGCTTTAGTAGCCGCCAAATTGTCTATGTATTTGACAAAGCTGTTTCCTGAACTGTGTCATCAAAAGTTTCTTTGGAGTGATAGCCAAATAACTATCTACTGGATAAAGGGATGTGCAAGAAACTGGAAACCCTTTGTATCAAACCGAGTTTCTGATATTCAGTCTCTCACGGATCCTGAATGCTGGTTTCACTGCAGTGGGAGTGAAAACCCTGCTGACCTTTTTACCTCGAGGAGAAAATGCCTTTAATCTTGAGAGAAGTTCCCTTTGGTTACAGGGACCTAGCTGGCTATCTCAACCTGAAAGTGTTTGGCCAGTAAATAAACAGACCAACATCGACGAGGAGAGCGTTCAGAACGAAGCAAGGATGCAAACATCTCTTCATGTTTCTGTTCAAGACGTAGAATCTTCGGCATTACTAGAGTTAACGCGATTCAGCAGGCTGCTGAAGGTGTATCGAATTACGGCTTATGTTATGCGGTTTACCAACAATATAAAACGAAATTCAGTGAAAGTCAAAGGTCCATTAAGCTCTGTTGAGATTTCACGAGCTGAGTTCTATTGGGTAAAAGTTACACAGCGAAAATACTTTGCGAAAGAGATTCTAGATCTATCAAGTGGAAAATGCTTAGAAAAGACATCGTCGATTTATTCACTTAACCCAGAATTGGATACCCATGGTCTTCTGCGTTTAAAGGGCAGACTTCAATTCTCAGACTTTTCTTTCGAAGAAAAACACCCATGGCTGTTACCTTATAAAGATAGATACAGTGAACTAGTAATTTTTGAGTCTCATAACAAATTGTTTCATGCTGGAGTCGAAGCTACCTTAGCTGATATTAGAGAAAAGTTTTGGATCATAAAAGGACGCCAATTCGTCAAGTCCACGTTAAGTAAGTGCTTTTTGTGTAAACGATACAAGGTGCGTGCCGGTACACAGGAAACCGCTCCTTTACCACCTGATCGTGTTCTTCAATCATCTCCATTTTCTGTAACAGGCCTGGATTATGCTGGTCCCTTTTTTACAAAGGACAGCAAGAATAAACATTATCTGCTTTTGTTTACATGTGCTACAACTCGAGCTTTACATCTAGAACTTGTCCCTTCTATGAGCGTGGAGAATTTCATGCTTGCGTTTCGCAGGTTTATTTCTCGTCGTGGATTATGCTCAACGATATATTCGGACAATGCCAAGACATTCAAATGTGCTGATCTCGAGTTGCGAAAAATTTGGAAGTGTATTCAACATCCATCTGTACAAAATTTGTTTTCTTCCCACGGTATAACATGGAAGTTTATTGTGGAAAAAGGAGCATGGTGGGGAGGGTTCTGGGAAAGGCATTTTAGAACGATCAAAACTTGTTTAAGGAAAATAGTTGGACGTTCTAGTCTCTCTTTGAATGAGCTAGAAACAGTCTTCGTAGAAATCGAAGCCATAATTAATTCAAGACCCATAACGTATGTCTACAATGACCCTTCAGAACCCTCACCGCTAACTCCTGCTCATTTCTTAATTGGTAAACGTTTACTTTCTCTTCCAGTTACAAGAGTGTGCAGAGAAGACTTGATTGGGTCTAGACATTCCTTGATCAAAAGGTATAAACATCAACAAACCTTGTTAAACCACTTTTGGAATAGGTGGAGGAAGGATTACTTGCTTTCTTTAAGATCTGTGAATTTATGTCCACCTACTAAAGTGTCTGGTCAGTTTAATGTTAATGATGTAGTCCTTGTACATGACGACCGTTTACCTAGGAATTTGTGGACACTAGGTAAGATAATAGAACCTTGAAGTGCATAATTAGTAGTAAAGAGTTACAGTGTAATAATCTAATTTGTTGTTTGCACATATATCATCTTCTGAGTATCTTTATTGATTGTTGCTAAATGTAGTTTAGTTTATATAATTATTGCGAATTTTGATTTAGTATAATGTTTCTTATTTAGTAATTACTTTATAAGTTGATTTAACGTGTTTAAACATTACTTAATTGTTATTTGTAATTTGATGTAGTTTATAGAGTATTCAAATGTTGTGTTTGATTTATAAATACTGGTTTATTTTGTATTCGGTTTGTGTGAACTTAAAGTGTTCACAGGTGGGGAGTGTTGTAAAGAGAGAAGTAGAGGGCGCTGCTTGGCAGTAGCGCAATGCATGTAAGTAGAAACGAAATGTCGTTTGATTAGGCAACATGATTTCTGTGAAGGTAGTCCACCTAACAATAGGACAATTGTAAATATGTAAATAACGGATAATAAATAACATTAGAAAACTGAACCACCGGAAGTTTTGTGATTTCTCTACGGGCCGCCATGGATAAATGCAGGTTCGTCACAACTGTTAACTAATGGTAGCTTTAGATATCGAAAACCCATGGCTTTCACAGCGTTTTTAATAACTAGATACGAATATTTTTTCAGGAAGAGCACAAATATAACCTTCCATCCATTGCTTCTTTAAAAGCGCCATTACGAAGCATACCAATTTGCTTTACAGCAAAGTAAGCTAATTAGCAAGCAAAAAGCATATTTGCTAAGCAAAGCAAAATCGTCCAAAAAATGCGCGAACAGCTTCTGTATATAACCAGAGGATATACTTCGACTGAAGCTATATTTTCAAATGAAAGCATAAGAACGCATATCGAAATGTGGACGTGAGCACGTAGTTTCCATTTTTCATTGTATGTGAAAACAGAATAAAAACGTGCATCACGCCATTAAGTTTGTAAACATATAAATTTTATTTACAAACAACGATCAACCAATTACATGTTTTAAACAAAGACGAGCTTTAGTAAAGTATCGCTTGATACTTTAAAGTTCGTTGTTATTTTAAAACACGGAATTGGAGGGATATCCATGTGTTGACCACATCAGATATGTTTTGAATATAAATATTCCTAATACTTCTCGAAGATAACATTTCGAAAACGAATATTAGACTTTCAACATACTACAAAGTAGTTTCAAGGTTTCTTGACTTGAATGGGTACTTGACGTGAATCAAGTAAGCATTTAGGATTGCGCCTTAGGCACCAAATTCACACGCTAATAATTATCCTCAACTGGTTATTCGCAATATTTCCTTTTACGTTACATTCTTCCTTCGAGTATTTTTTCATTAAAAGGGAGAGTACGAAATTCTTTGCAATGAACTTCACTAAAACGTGCATGTGATAGATTACAACACTGAAACTATTAACAAGAATGATATAATTATTTTGCTGTAGATTATTAAATTGAATAAGGGAAAAAATATATTAATACATTAAAGATGCCCAAGTTTAGCACCGGAAGTCTGGAAATCTTTTATACAACTACTGATTTTACAAAATGTGTTCAGTTTGCTCTCACTGCAGTTACATATACGTCAATATATATATATATATATATATAAATCATTCATAATGATAAATATCATGGATTCTTAATTTATCTATATAATTAAAAAGGCGATTGGAAGTTTAAAAATTATTATTATTTTAAGTGCAACAAAAACGGGCACTCACGGAAAATCCCGTCGACCATTTTTGCCTATTAAAGAAAAAACGCCAAACTACGAAACCGTCTTCCGGAAAAGTCTTCTTCAAACACGCTAGGTTTGATGTAACCTTGATTACATATGTTGGTTATTATTCTTGAGTAAAGACGTTTTTTCCGCTCTATCACACATTTTCGGAAAAAAAATTATTAAAATTTGGGACCTACCTACTACAGAAGAGCAAGCTGTGGAATATTTCCAAAGTTATAGAATCTTACCGGCCTCAAAAAAATGTGTTAATTGCCACGAAATGGCCTTTTATTTAAAATCTGAGAAGCAATGGTGTTGCAACCTTAACGTTGTAAATAATTGCTTTTACAGTATATCTCCTTAATAAAAAATAACGGAAATTTTTAATGAAAAATTAAATATAAATAAATGATAATATAATAAATTTGAAAGAAAAATAAGAATAGAACGTTTTTTCTTGTATTTAATAAATGTTTTTTTTTCGGGGGGGGTGCGACTGGCGCTGTCTCTTGTGGTCGACGCGGTTTTCCGTAAGTACTCAAAAGAGGTTATCAAATAATTCAATGATTTTGGAAATGTGACGCTTTCCGATTTTCATACTGCAAATCTTTTAGACTTCTCTGTTGACAGATCTAAATGCGAAAAACTTACGAAGTTACGCAATATGAGGGTAAATGAACCTGAAAAATGCAATGAAATAATTCATGTGCACAGAGAAAAAAATAACATTAAAATTGCAATAAATATTTGAGAAAGTTTCAAGTCTTCTGATTTTTAGTGGGGAAAGGACACAATAATTTAAGAAAAAGCAAGCAGAAATTAAGCCACTAAAAAAATAATAATAATTTGTTGAAGAATAAACCCCTAATATTTTATTAATAAAATACTAGGGGTGAGATTATACTTATGTGGGAACACACTCTTATTATTCTGAAATAGCTACTCACGAGATAATTCACATTAAAAATAAATTAATAAAAATTACTGAAAAAAGTCAACGGAACAAGAACATAAGTAATTCATTCAAAGCAATGTAAACACAAATAAAAACACAGGAAAAAAAATTGTTATACTTTATTCAAATGACTAGTGGTATTAAAAAAAAAATCTCAACATTGCACAACTTTTTTTTTTTTTTTTCTTCTCGAAAAGCTTTACAATTGTCACATGTCTAAAAACCAGAAAAAATTCAGATCGCTATAAAAATAGAATAAACAGTATTAAAAGTTTTATTACACGCAGGGAAGTTCGAAACAACAGTCGTCCTAACTAATATAAACATAACAATTAACGTCTTTCCAGCCTTTTAAAACAAAGCCTACAGGAAAGAGTTTCTTTATTTTGATTGCTTCCAGTTTATTTTGATATACTTCGTATTGAATCTCCACAAATATTCAAACTGGAGCAGAATTTCCAAGGTTTGCAGCAATTCGAAGCAGTTGCTCTTGAAAGGAAAGCATACAAAGGAAATGTGAATTTTTCCATGGCATTAACCCACTTCTTTGCTCTTTAAGAAGAGGGGACAGAAAGAATCAATTTTTTCATCTGCAAACTAAGTCAATACATAAAACGAAGGAGGAAGAAAGGAACAACATGACTATGTATTATTTATGCACTGCTGAGAATTTTAAACAGCGTGTCAAGGGAGTTTGGAAATATCTTGAAAAACAGAGAGGCAAAAGCTGAGGAATTAAAAACAAAATCTATATAAAATTCTTCTAAGTTTTTGACAAAAAGTTAAAAATTATGAAATTCCATGAGCTTATGTTGGCAGTGGTGTGGATTTTCTCTTGATAATTTCAAACGTAATTCTTCATTTTTAAATTTCATATAAGCACATAATTTCTGCTCATATTTCCGCTGATTTTTTTTTCTTACACTTTATATTATAAAATGAAAAATTAAATTCAGCATTAAACATATATTTTGAATAAAATAACTTTTTTTAACTTGCACTGCAAGCCACGTCTGCCACAAGCGAATAAACCCACTGAACACTGCAAGCGTTAACATAAATGCGAACCAGTTTCCTTCACGAAGGTATCCATCCTTTAAGAAAATAGGCTTCGTGTGATGACAAAAAAATAATGGAAACAGGCTCTATTTCCACCTCCCCCTTTTTTTTTAAGGAAGTAAAAACCAGAGAATTTTCTTCGTGAAGGACCAATTTTCTAAAGGCGTAACATTTTAATGAAAATTATGAATCTGGGTTCAGAAACATCTTAATTGCATACCTTTTTATTAAATTGTAACTGGATTAGTTAGGTTAAGTTATATGAACTTGCAAAGCACGCGAGGGCTGCCTGCCTATGCGGAGGGGTGCCTTTGTGAAGGACGTTTTGCGAGAAACTGGCTCATATTCACGTTACGCATGGGGAAACCCAACCATATAACCAGCCCGTTCGCTTAGACTCGCCCCCAGAATAAACTACCAGCATTCAGGAGTCTTAACCGCTTGGCCACTAATAGGGCTTTTTACTAATTACAGCAAAGCAAACGAGAGCTGACTGCCTAGCCGGGTTAGAGTGTTAAACGAGGGCCTCTCAAGACACGTAATCCGAGGCTTTCACATCCCCTTTTATCCTGACGCTAAACTTTTGAGAGAATTTCCAATGCAGTATGGGCATAAAGGTCCATGTCTTATTCGAGAGGAATCGGAGTATATCAGTGCCTTTGTTAATCACCATACCCTACTAGGGCAACTAAAAATCATTTTCAAATCCATCAACCTTACTATTAAACATTAAACATGGGTCCTGTTCATTTTTGCGACGTATTCAAAATGACTAAAAGTCTCTGCTATAAAGGGTAAGAATCCGCTGGAAAAATTAAGTATAAAAATATGCAATGCAGGCACATCTGTTGGCAACAATTAAAGATTTTACGTAAATTTCACTTGCGAAAAAGAACTGGAAAAACATACAGGAATACAACAGTCAGATGAAAAATTACATATTCAAAAAGATGAAATGATTATCAGGTGTACTTAAAATATGAGAGGAAAATAAATGTCTTTTTACAGTATGAATTTTTCTTCCAAGTTTCGTATCTTAAAAATTTCTCGTCCCGAGAAATTTGGTTGTTTAATTTTAGAAGCGTCACGATGAAGAATCTGATATTCATGCAGATTCCTTTATTAAAACGCATTCCTTTCGAAAATTCGTAGACTAGAAGAATAACAATTATCTTGAGATATTTAAAAATGCATGAAAAATTATTGAAATGACTTATGAATCTTCTCTAAGAACCCAAACATTTTCTTCACTGGAGCAAGAACTAGAACATGATGCAGAAAGTTTGGATGGCGATGCTCTAATATTTTTCCAATCAAAATCTGGCGGCAATTCACGAATTGTTGAATTTTGAAGAGACATCTTGCGAAAATGCGTGTCCAGAGAAGTTTTGGAGGCTGTCAAACTTCTTGATGAGGTTTCTAGATTTGGGCACGATGGCACACGATTTGAGTCAAGATTCAACCTGCTGGTTTTTACAACATCATCTGCAATTATATCTGCATGGTCGACATTCAGTTCAAGATTAGTATTTGTCAGCATTCGGGATGTCTTTTTACAAGTGATGGGCAGCACAGCTCTTCGTCTAGAATCACTGCGATTTAGAGTGGGCACGGATAAAGTTGATGTCATAGAACTTAGCTCGTTTTGACTGCAACTTGAAGATGATCGCGAATGGAAGAGATATTGATGTGATGAGTTGCTATGATCGGAGCCATGATTATTCGACAAAGAGATCCTTTTGGGACTCGTTATAGTTATATGACTGGATGACAAAGGTTTCTCAGAACTTGCGAACTTGAATTTTTCCGCTCCTGGTAACCGTGGCTGCTTCATTATGGAATGAAAACCAGAGTCAGCTTTGTTCTGCGTCACGGAAGTGGCCAGATTCTGGAAAAAAAAGGAAACACAAATTATCCTCCCTTCCATTAAATAAAGATTCATTTAGAATAAACAATAAAAACAAATTACATGTCTGAGTCCGTATTTAGAAGCATGTTTGTACAGGCCCTAAATTCATATCAGAGTTGAAGCTTATTAAATCTTCATAAATAATTAACTGGTAATCTGTTTCACTTGTATTTCTCAAAATTCAATATTTTGTACTTAAAATAGTATTGTAACGGCATAGTTCGTTTAAACGGTTGTGATAAGACATGCGAGATCTCTCTGCCCAAGAGAGAGATATTTGTTAGTTATTAAGGCAAAATACCAAGTTGTTTTAAGTATTTGCATAAAAGAAGAGACTTATTCGCGGAGGACTATTCAATAGAAAGTGGTTCGTATTCATATTACACATCGAAAAAATCACAAAAAGAACCTCATGCAACCAGCATATTCGTCCAGAATGGAACCCAGATCGCATTACCAAAGTTCAGCGGTCTTAGCCAGACAGCCGTTGATGGTCTTGTAATATATAATAACTGCATTCTGTCTGTTTTATACAATTAAATTTACATAAGCGTCGTTCACCCCTTCCCTGCTTTGCTTTTACTCGTATTAACAGGTCCTAAACCAAAACGCATTTTAACAGCCACACACGGCAGAAAAATCTACAGCGAAACGAAATTTCCACAATTTTCAGCAAAGTTAAAAAATTGGCAGAAATATCTTTAGTTTGCCTCGTGAATCCATAGATAAATTTTCAGTGTACTGATAGCTTTAAACCAGTATGAATGAATTATTTCAATTACAGTGATCGGCTGATCAAACTTTTGTTAATAGTTTTGTAATAAAATTTTGTTCCACATTTTATTCTAGTTTAAAGTTTTTATGAGGGTTAAAAATAAAGTTCAGAGCTCATATATCCCGAACAAAACATCATTTCTTTCTTCCAATAAAAACTATTAGTTATTGTAGTTAAAGGGAAATGAAGCAATTAAAAATTCAGGTCAGTATCTTATATCATCACTACTGATGCAGAAGAATAGTAAATAATTACAACGTTAAATTAACCATCTGATTTCTCACAATGAACATTACACGAAAACAATACCAAATGGTGGCTCACTTATTTTTATTCGTCTTGCAAAAGCTTTCATAGGGTTTCCGAAGCTTAATTGCTCATTCCGCATCCTTACAATAAAGCCCAATAATATTAGATGAGCAAAAATAAACAAAATCTTGAAAATTTTAAATCTGCTTAAAGTTAAATGCGTCCAAAAGAATGTACATTAAAAAGTGGCATAAAATTACGAAGAAGGGCTGGATTACTTAACTACACAGTGAATCAAAAATATCTGAAACAAATGTAATGGTTTACTGCATTTTGAAGTCTTCCCTCCCCCATTTTTAATAAGAATTACATTCTCGAACTTATGCTATGAGCCAAGATGATACTGAACAAGAAGGGCGAGATGCGATTCCTAGGGTAGAACTGCTGCCATCGATTACGTCAATGTACAGAAAAAGACTACCTACAACGAAAAAATATCCCAAAAAGTTAAACCCCCCCCCCGAAAAAAAGGCGGGCACTAGCCGTTATAGGCGTTGGCCTCTACAAAGGCAGGAAGCTGTAGTCGGTTTATTATGGAGGTACCTAATAGGTGGGCCATCACTGCCACCTCTGAAGGTACTGACAATTTACATCCATGCCTTCTCCGGAGATTCGAACTTGGGCCCTTTGATACGACAGTCAAAACCACTTTCCCGTGCGGGCGGTATAGCTAAAAAAAAAGTGAGAATCTCTTGGAAGGTCGCTGAATAGTCCTCATCAGCATTGACAAGAACAATAGAATCGTTGAGCAATATACCCTCTCAATACACACAGGAAAAAAAAAAAAAAAAAGCAATACAGCAGGCTGTGGTTTATAATGTGCACTTTTCCTCATTCTAAAACACTGACTTAAGAATCACACTATATTACTTTCCGTAACAATAATAATCACACATTGCGATCAAACGCGTAGCGATATTTTCTAAATACTAAGAAAGTTCTCTGCAGGAAAGGAACGTATGTTACAAAGTCCCCAGAATTAGTTATAAAAATTATTAAATAACTTCAATTTAACACTTTAGCTTCGTACTTAAAATAGCTGAGGTTTGAATCCCGGTTTAAGCTGACGTAGAATCTATTTTGGTGTAGTCAGCAAGAGCCTGCGCCCGTAAAATTAGTTTACGTATAAGCACCAAGATCTGAAGCCCTTACTTTAGGAAGGCAATGCATAGGAAGGCTTAAGGTTACACAAATGAATTTATCCTTACAACAAGATTAATCTTATATCAGTTAGGAAAAAATTCAATACAACTTATTAAAAAAGTTTAAGCGTGCCTAGCTACCAGGGCATTGGAATATAAGGTATCTGATTCTATGCTGAAAGGTTATGGATTTCTCAGAATAAAAAATTTATGCTCTGCTTTTCTACCACGGCAGAGCAGATCTAACTACTACCTTCCCTCCTCCATTGTTTTCTTATAAAGCTGTTTTTCCCTAACATCTTTTAAAAGAAAACAACATGGACAGAGTTTACGGTAGTGGTTTTTACCCACGTTAGTTCAATAAACCTCGATGCGACAGTCACGTTTCAGCAAACGCTGGGAAAATTTTTTTCATTAAAACAATAATGGGAAAGTTTCTCGTTGCTTAATTAACACCTTCACTTTTCGGATTGCTTACTCCCTCTCTGAATAAAAAAGGAAAACATGCATTTTTGCTGCGATTGTGTACGTGAGATTTGTTTGTTCCTCAGAAAGTTGATAGCAGCTTGGCAAGTGCATTAGCGGAAACTCCAGTGAAGTAAAAAAATTCGCTCAATTTTATCTCAGCAAAGAAATTTAAAATACGCGAGGAAACAAAACAGAATTGTTTGTCGCCAAATAATACGATTTTACATTTCTTCATAAATTAGCATTCTGGAAAACAATCTTAAAATCAAAAATCACCTAACATGCTGATGATATTTTTAGCTTAAATTTCCCATCTGGCGTATTCATTGTAATTGAATGCCATATTTTTAATCTGTAATGTATGCATACAACGAAGAACTAGGCAAAAAATATGTAAAGTTTGCATACAAATTTAAAAACCGAATAGTTTGTCCATTTAAGCTAAACAGCAACTATAAAGAAACTGTGTTGGCGCTAAGGAAAAAAAAAGTTATAATGAAACTGCAAAAAAAAGTTGCAAACGAAAAAATCTAAAATGCACAACAGCAGTAAAATAAAAATTTTAAATTCGTTTGAAATGTCGACGTAAATTACTGTAAAGGAATTAATCACTAATGGGGACAAAATATTGCTAGCTCTTTATGAATAAAGTCTGGATTAAGTTCACTGCAGAAAGACTAACAGAATCATCGTTAATACTCATTTCTAAGAGCTTGTTTCATATACAGGTAAGAAGCCCACCAGCGGCCGAGAGGTAAAAGTTGCTGAACACTGGTAGTTCGCTCTGGTGTTCGAATCCCGACGAACGGCCTGGCTGCATGCGAGTTTTCGTGGTTTCCAACGTGTATACGGGTCAGTTCCCTGTAGAAATTCCGCCACGAAGGCATCCCTCTCCTTAAGCAGATATCCCTAATATGCTTTGGCGTAATTAAATAAACTAAACCATATACAGGTTAGATCCAGTTTACGCGTTAAGGTTACGAATCCTCAGATTTTTGGAGTGTTATGAAAAGCTTCACTTGAATAATTCGTTTCGGCATTCTTTCATGCTTCGTTTGCATACTTTGGAGTAAATAAACGCCAAAATATAATAGGAAAAAACAATTGTAAATAAATAAAATTCCATTTCAAGATTCAATAATCGCAGTAGTAATAAAGTTCGAATAAAATGTTTAATTTTACGAAATTTACGAATTTGAGAATGATTTCTTTTTGAGTACTTTTAAATATTATGTGTAAAAAGGAAACAGATCAACGGTATGTAATAAAATAAAATGAAAAATACTAAAAATTTACGCAATTAGATGATTGTTGTGTTTACTTCTTTTCTGCTAATAGGTTATAACAGTAGTTCCTAAACATTTTCGGTTGCTCTTTGGTGCATCAAATTTTTCCCACGGCGTCCAAAATCAGAACATAAATCTATTTAACACAGTTACAGAGCGCAGCAGATGCGGATAGGTTGGTTAAAGTGTAAAATAAATGAAATACGGGATTTTAAATTCAGAAAGAATTGATATAACATGGACTAAAGAAGTCCATATTGTACAATCACACCGTTGAATAAATGAATCTCAAAAGTAAGAAGGATAAGCCTTTTTTTATTGCACATCTTGAATTAGAATCGGATGTAGCTTCATGATCTTCAGACTGAAATTTCACACACTGCTTGCTTTTTATCACAGCGACCGCCGAAAACCTCATTTCCCTAAAACCATGATGTCATACGTGAACTGTTTATCTTCTAATGATAGCCGTAAGTCAGTACACTGATGTCGAATTTTGTCATTCGCGTACTGTCCCAAGAGAGCTCAATAACATTTCCATTTACACAAGTTAAGTTCAGATGGAGCTTTGGCTTTGAAAGGACTTTGAAAGGTCCATTTGAATGAAAGTGTTGGAATATTTCGCAATACCCCAATAAACAACGCAAGGCGCAGCTGCATAGCTTGGAAAACCACAGGATTATAAGGCTACGTATATAGCTACGTATACAATTCACATACCAGTGATTGAACTCTGCTTCAGTTAGAACCGTAAATAAAATTCAATACTGCCCATTAAAATTACTATACATAGTGAAACGAGGTACAATAAATCCTTGCGAGCGCGGATTTGCCGAATGCGATTTTGTATGTTGTTTACATTTAGTTTATCCAACACTAGAATTTCATGCATTACGCGGCTCATCGTTTACTCATCAACATTGAATTCTTGCTGATATCAATTCTGAACAGAAGTTATCAAAAGTTTTAAAGAATTTCCATTGACTGAAAATGACGCCA